ATATATATATACCAAATATAACCAAAATAATTACAAGAGGTTATTTATTTTAGGGTTAAGATGCATTTGTGGGTAATGCCATTAACATCGTATGGGTTTTCACATGTTTCAATAGATTTGAAAATTTTAGATATGATTGGAATTCAATTAAAAAATGTTAAAGACTGGGTAAAGTAAAACAAAAAGTATTTGAATATTTTAAATTTCTCTTGCGTGTTCAGAGTTCCACCCCTTGGATGCAGAAAAGTGGATCTCTTGCGCCCTCTATGTGTAAAATAATAACATTACAACTTATCTTATTAAAGTTTTGTTTTTATTGCTTGTTTCATTAGGTTTTAATTGCACCAGCTTCAAAACAGTTTTTATGTAATCTAGTTACTTGCAGTTCATTGTTGTACAGCAAAATATTTAAATTAATGTGAAAAACTTTTTTACACCGTCTTGATCAGAAATACAGTATATGTCATGTTTTGGCATGCATATTTTTTTTTTTTGTTGGCATCTATTATATCAAGTTAAGAGAAAAAAAAAAGTCACTTAGCTAGAATTTATACTGTATTGAATACACTGTACTTGTGGTTTTCAAACTTTATAGCGCCTGGTCTACAAAATAACAGCTGCAAAAAACTTGTGACCTCAAATAAGCAAACTTTGCTTAAAACTCTAAACAATGAGCATGATAACAATATAAACAAAACCAAATAACCACGACACTACTTTTGCCCATTTATGATTATTGTATTTGCCTTTTTTTGCCAATAATTATGGTAAAAAAAAATTCCATTAGCGATATATTTGCATTTAAATTAATGTTTGAAATCATCTAGGGGACCCCATGGTTCATGACCCACAGGGAGGTCCAGTCCCAACATTGGGAACCACTACATTTTATCACTAAATCAATATCTCCTGTGCTTTCCAACAAAATTGGACTTTTTAAAAAAAATGTACTGTTAGACAAAACAAACCAAAATCAACATTCAAAAACAATTACATTTCCTTCAGTGAAATCGTGGTAACAGTCGGAGGTCACCTGGCTCTAGCCATTTTGATTTTTCTTCAAAACCTCATTTTCAAATTTATCTAACATGTCAGAGCCTGTAGGATGATTTAAAAAACAATAAATAACATTAAACTTCATTATAGTTTTTTAAGACAAAGCTAATTGAAAGGGGCAATTAGCAGAGTTACAACCAGGGATTACAAATAATTACTTTTTTCTCCTGCAGTTTGGCGCCCTCTCCAACAGATGGCGCTCTAGGCGACCGCCTGGTTCGCCTGTGCCAAGAGCCGGCTCTGGGTGGCGCTGTGGTGCTGTCTAACCGGAATCCCCACCGGAAGTGCGCTAGTATTAGCAAGCGGGAATTTATAAATGCTAACATTTAAAAAAACTTGGAGGGCGAAATGTTTATTTACAAGTTTATCTTTCGTGTTATAAAGTAAAGACGCGTCTGTCGACCTGCACAAGTTCAAGGACTTTATAAGTCCCCAAGGACCGCATATCAGCGCTGTAACTTTCAGTCGCTGTTTTCTGTCAGGAAATATGGAGAATATGGTAAAGGAGTTGAAACGCTGGGCGACCGAAGAGTTTAGTCTTCCCTCGGACAGCTTGCCTAATGATAACTACCTAAAAACGTGGGTAAAATTATAAATAACCATTAATGAGAACTCTTTATTTTTTGACGTATGCCTGTTTTATTTTCCAGGCTTTGTGTTGGAACTGGGAAACCAATATGGAAGTACATGACCCAACATGTTTTCTCACAAAGGTCAGGTTTGTTTATTAT